ATCTACCTCACTTAACCCTGCTATGCTGCACTGGATGCTGGTGATTTGCATACAGCAAGAGTATGGCCAATCAGAGAAGGGCCCATCTGATCCTGCCCAATGTCTGGCTAAAATAATCAAGCAACTCACTTTCAGATTTAACTGATACATTGTGTCTAGGAAAGGGGTGTGCTCCAGAGACTTTTATCATGACAGACACGCCCCCTCTCCATCCTTCAGTCTCCTCCCACTCCTGAGCGTCTTTCAAAATCACAAAGAAATGCTAAAAAGCAGATGAAAGCTGAAACACAATCAGGGTGCAGTTACACTTTAAGCAATCTCTGTGATGTAGAACTACAGAACGTTCTGTTTCACTCTGTGAGGGGACGGAGCCTCACCATGTCTCCAGGGAGGAGTTAAAGCAGTAAGACTTCCCATTGGACAGGCTGATGACGGGCACTCCCTGCTGAGTGAGTAAGGACTGGGAGACTGTAGTGTCAGTGCCTGTGGAGAAACACACTGGTTTTAACCCTACATCTCTCTTCATACATACATGACAATACATTATCTTATTATCATATTAAATTATTATTATAAATATTCATCTTTCTGCCCCACCCACTTTTCCAAACCTACTCACCTGACAGGATGGTCTGCAGGGATTCATTCCTCACCAGAACGCTCTGCTTCTGCACGTCCCTACAAACATACGAACAAACAAACAATGACACCAGAGCTGGGCTGCTTCTCCATGTCTGAATGACTGGGGAAAAATGACAAGGGCCTGGATTTGGTGGTAGGTGGAGGCGGTGCGGAACTCTCACCAGACGGACAGCGTGGCGGCGGCAGTCAGCGCCATGACGAAGGAGGCGGAGCAGTGTAGAGTGGACATGGGGGCGGGCAGCAGGATGGCAGGGAGCAACCGCCGCCCACAGGAGGAGAAGACGGACAGCATCCTGTCCTCACAGGCCACCGCAACGACATCACTGCGGAGCAAACGCACACAGCATGATGATGTCAAAGCACACCTTGGTGGCACACACGAAGATGACATCACTGCTCAGGAAAATAAAAAAAATGTAAAAAATAAACACAGTCACACATGTCACCGTGAGGACATCACTGAAGAGCAAACACACATGCACGCACATCACCATGGTGACACTGCTGCAGAGATAAAACCCACATCTGGGTAACGGCTGGACTGATGGATAGACACTCACCAGCTCCCAGCGGCAGTGAGGATTCGGCTGGCCAGCAGGGTGTCCCATTCCCGCCCGTCCCTTGAGCAGCGCAGCTGGCTCAATCGCGCCCCTCCTACTGTGGACACCTCGTTCTCCACCTCCAAATACACTGAGGGCTCCGAGCTCACCTGCACAGCAAAGGAGGCACAGGGGGTCTAACCACCATCTAACCAGCGCTGCTAATCTACAGTAAGAAATTGGCACTGCCAACTTGCAGGGCTAACCTGCGCTGGAGAGAGTAAATCATTCCAATAAAAGGGCCTAATTAACAGTTTGTAACATTCCAGGGGTTGAGTCTGGGAGGCCCTGCTGTGTCACCTGCAGTCAGGTACACACACAGCACAGGTAAGAGGGACAGACGTACCTGCAGGGAAAAGGCCTTCTGGGGTGTGGGCGTGGGCAGCTTCAGCAGAGCGACAGGGGCCACAACGCGTACCGGCTCCTTCTCTGTGGATGGCGTGGCCTGGAGGGAAGCAGGGGGACACTTCAAATTACCTGCCTCAACCAATCACCTGCAATAAATGCCCTGTCCCAACCAATCACCTGCATAAATTACTAAGTCCCAACCAATCACCTGAATAAATTACTCACTCCCAACCAATCACCTGCTTCGACCCTTTACCCATCACAATGATCCTATCCCAATCAGTCACCCTGTCCCAACCAATCACCTGCCACAATCACCTTGTCTCTACCAATCACCTGCCTGAATTATCCAGTCCCAACCAATCACCAACCTGAGCCAATCACCTACCATAATTACCCCCTCCCAAGCAATCAGCTGCTTCAGTTACCCATTCCTAACCAATCGGCTCTTTTTCACTGAGATGCATATTATAAATTAAACGTGCAGATGATATTATCATATTGTAAGTATCATCTCACATTATCTTCAGTTCTCACTTCCTGTCTGCGGACACACAGTACCTGCAGAAACGCTTGGCTCACGGGAGCCACTTTAGCATCTTTCCTGGGCCGGCCCTTTTTCCTCTTCTCCACCACCTCTCCTCCCTCCATCTCCGCCTTCCTCTTGTTGAAAGGCAGTGATTTGATGGCAGCCATTTTCTCCTCGCTGTCGCTGCTCGTTTCATCCTTAGATTTAGGATCCTTTAAAGAGCTGGAGTCTTTCACTCTGCTGGAGAACAAACAAAAGGTCAATCTCCTCAAAGGAGCTGTCAACAAAACCCCATCTCTGCACACATATTTACTTACAAAAAAACTATTTTTGTTCCAAACTCCCAAATTTTTTTTGGGTGCAGCAATGCCCCCTCCTGAATGAGGGACCAGTCTTTACCAACACAGAATACAGAAAAGACAAAAACACATAACTCAATTTTATTACAATAATTATTAAATTGGTTGTATCTTCTGTGACTGCCATAATCTCAAAACAAATAAGTATATTCAGGATTATGAAAAGGAGACTGAAAGTGGTTTTAACTGAGGTTTACAAATTCATAAAAGGGTTTAACAAGGTTACTAGAAAAATACTCTTCAGGCAGAGCTCAGTCAGTGGAATATGAGGGGCATAGATGGAAATTAGTCAAGGGTATATTCCATATTTCACAGAAAGACTTTGCCAGATGAAGTTGTACAGGGAGAGAACCTCGGTTTGTTTAAATTCAGGCCTGATGCAGTGCAGGACACTCGGTAGATTGTTGGTACACTGTAAGCACAGTTGGGCTGAATGGCCGGTTCTCATTGTCCGCTCTTTTGTAATTACGCAAGTACAACTTATATAGCTAAAACTATCATTCTAGATGTTGCCGTGAACAGCAGGCTCTCATGTACCTGTCTAGGGAACCCAGACTGGGTGCAGGGGAGACTCCCGGCGTGGCCTTTGACCTCTCTGTGAATCGGGAGTCGAGCGCTTTCATTGGCTCCATCTTGGCGGCGGAGGTGAGTAGCAGGTTGGGTTTCATAGAGGTGGAGTTCATTCCCGTGGAGGCGGAGCCACTCAGAGCAAGACTGCTGCCGCTGTGTGAGAAAGAGGGACATGCAGTTTGGGCCGGGAGTTCCTCCATACAGATGAGTGCTGTAGCTCTCAAATAGGAAAGGTACAACAGCAGGGTAACAGGTACACAAATATAAATATGATCCCCTGGACATCTTGCACAGCCAACAACATGAAAAGCATTCGAAAATGTAGGTATAGAATCGCTGTGTAATGGAAACCTTGCCCATTCAAGATGAACTTCAAACAATTACACTGGAAAGAGATGCCTAACCCGTTCAACCAAATGCACCTGTCTGGTCTGAAAATCCAAGGCCATGGACAGCGCAGACAAAGCCTGTCCATGACTGTCTAAGGTATTCACGTTGTTTAAAAGTTTGCGCTATTTATACCGTCTGATGCTTATTTATATTTCTTAAGCTGACTCCGACTTGTTAGTCCCCTGAAAGAACAGCTGTGGCTGGCTAGATATGAAGAAGCAAATGATAATGAATGCTATATCAATAGCAGAGCTGACATCCTGCCTATCGGGCCTGACTGCAACACAGTAACCAATCAGGAACAGGGAACCGCACCACAGTATCCAATCAGGCAGAAGCTGAAATGGAAACAGGGAGGTTATTCTGTAATCAGTGTGGCAGTAAGGCCGGCTAGCACCCAGGCTTACGCACCCCTCTTTGGGCTCGGCGGGAGTTTTCCCGGGGGCCGTGGCGGGCGTGTCCTGGGCAGGGCGCAGGCCAAGGGAGTTGGCGGTGCTGGAGTCGGAGGAAAGCTGGGGGGTCAGCTGAGAAGACATGGAGGAGCCGGGGAGGATGGGAACGCTGTTGAACAGAGCCGGCGAAAAGTCGCTGCGCAGAAAGACAAAACAGTTACTCAGTCATACACAAAGCAAGTTAGTGTATGAATTCTGCTCAAAACAATTGTAAAGAAGCAACTGCAGTAAACAAAACTAAGAAAATCTGGGTACTGTGCGTAGGATATCGAGGTGCAGCTGGGTCTTACCCAGTGTCCAGCTGAGCGATACACAGTGGGGTGATCCGTCTCCTGCCGTCCGCCGTCCTCGTCTCCACCTGCTTCTTCAATAAGTTCTGCAACATCCCATAAACAACTCGTCACCAACACATTTCCAACCCATAAACAACTCATTGACAACCCATTAAAATCCAAACAGCACACTACCAATGCCAAAACAACCCATTACCAACACATCGCTGTCTACACATAATCCCCTACATCGCTGTGTTAAGTTTCCAGAAATACACTGAGCCAAGATATTATTTCTGACAAGGTTTTTCTTCTGAATCCACAATTTTAACTGACTTTTTGCAATTTTTTTTCCTGAATCCACAAATCTGTTTAAAGACATTTTTTTTTCAGTAAAATATTTATATAAAATAAGTTCTCAAAATTCCAAGTACAAACAGAGGCCTGAATGGTTCCTTGGTGTGCTCGGAGAAAGCGGGGCGCTGCCCCCACCTTGCGGATGTCCTCCAGGGACTCTCCGTTGACCACGCTGGTGAGTTTGGGCGCCTGGGTCTCATGGCTGGCGGCGTTTCGATGCTCGGCCAGCTCCTTCTCCTGCTGGTACTTCAGCATCTCCGGGTTCTCGATGATGGTGGTGGACAGCTGGGCCTCCGTGGTGATGGCCAGGCTTTTACCGTAGATGTTTTGGTGAATGGAGTTCTGAATGGGGAAATACACAGAGAAACCGCGCTACAGCAGGGAAAACCAAAGCAGCGCACCCTTAACCGGGGGCAGCAGCTACAGGCCACAGGCTGAGATCAAGCTCAACTCCTGTGCTGACTGTAGCCAGCATGAGAACTCAGCCTGTAGTCTAGTGGCTAAGTTGCATAGCTGGGAACCCTGAGGTTGGTGGTTCAAGTCCCAGCCCAGCCACAGCAAGAACGCCAGTGCTGTTGGGCCCTTGAGCAAGGCCCTTAACCCTTAAACCCACATTGCTCCCAGGGGGGAATTGGCCCTTGTTTAGCTAAAATATAAAATGCTTAGATAAAATGCTAATGCTTGTTGTCACTTTGGATAAAATGCGTCAGCTAAATGTCTAATGTAACGTAAGCTCTGGATTACCTACATTGGTGAGAATCCTGTGTATATCCCATAATAGCCCAGTGAAAGCTAGGACAGCTGCCCTGCTCCCCATACCTTCTCATCCTCGTTTAGGGGGTCCCCCAGCTCGTCCTGAGAGAAATCGAGGAATGCTACCGTTCCATCCATGGAGCACACTAGGATGCCAAGGCCGTTCAGAGTCCTACAACGGGCAACGAGAGAAACCACTATCATGCTCAAGGACCACAATCCTGTGCAGCTTCACTGGGAATAAACAGACTACTGAAATAATCCTAACTGGCACAAACAATGGCACTAACATTGCATTATGCAGGAATACTACATGATGTTTTGGATTCATTAGAAACAAGATGTGCATCATAGTTTGTCCTTACCATGTGATATCCATGATGGACTTATCAAACAAGTCATGGATCACCACTAGGGGGCGCTTCAGGGATGTCAGCTATAAATACACACACACACACACAGAATTAGCTCTCATTCATTATTCAGCACTGGCATGCTGCTAATTCTCAGAGTGGCTGCCATTCTCTGGAAAGCCACAAACTATGGCTGCTGCAGGAGACCATAGAGAGCATACTTGAATATATTATCATGAAATCTAACACAACATTTAAAAAAAAAAAAAAAAAAAAAAAAAAAAAAGCCACATGTGATGCTGCCCTCTGCTAGATTATCAGTGTCAAAATTATACAAAGATACACATTTACATTGGCTATTAGGCCAGTCGGACATTATACGCAATTAAAGCCTTTTTCGGCTAAACAGCATGTGCCCTTAAAGAGCCGAAAGCTCCTTTTAGACAGTCAGCTTGAAAAGCTGGAAAAACACTACCCCTTCGTCGCTTGTGAAGTATTGTGCGAACAGCTTCCCATTTTCTCCACAACCATGTTGGCAAGTTCAGCAAACGCCAAACCAGCTTCTTCCAAATTTGTTTCGCAATAAGGAAAAGTGAAGACTAAGTAAAACTGATGTCAAAATGAAAGAGTGACGGAATATTGACAAAGGTCAAGGATTGAAATGCGTGAATATTGAGGGAATTCTGGCTGAATGTCAAGGGTGAAAAGTCAAGGGTGAAAAGTCTCGGGGGAAAAGTCTCGGGGGAAAAGTCTCGGGGGAAAAGTCTCGGGGAAAAGTCAGGGTGAAAGAAGGGTGAAAAGTCAAGGGTGAAAAGTCAAGGGGGAGAAGGGAGAAGCAAGGGGGAGAAATGGGGGGAGAAATCTGGGGGAGAAAATCTGGGGGAGAAGTCAAGGGTGAGAAGTCAAGGGGGAGAAGTCAAGGGGGAGAAGTCAAGGGGGAGAAGTCAAGGGGGGAGAAGTCAAGGGGGAGAAGTCTAGGGGGAGGAAGTCTAGGGGGAGAAGTCAAGGGGGAGAAGTCAAGGGGGAAAGGTCAACTCACCCACACGGAGACAGAGCGGTCCTTGCTGCCCACAGCACAGCAGCAGTACGGGCAGCTGGGCTTGGGAGAGCTGCCGTTCTTCTGCTTCTTCTTAAAGATTTTTGGATTGAATTTCTGCAGAGGGAGACGGAGGGACACTGATCAGCAGCAGGGACAGGTGTTAGAGGTGCGGCCCAGCACAGACAGGGCCCAGCCGGGCAGAGCTGCACACAGACTCCTTTAGCCTGTGCGGAAATGCTATGCTGAAGACAGAATGCTAATGCTTGTACGTGCGCATGCACACACGCACGCATTACTCACCACCACAGTCACAGCCTTCCTGTGGCCCACAAAGTCCATGTTGGTCTTCCAGCCGTCACGCTCGATGATCTGCGCCGTCGGGCCGGAGTTGTTCATGGCATGGGCGGAGACCAAGTACTGTCCGTCAGGTGACCAGCTAAGCCGCAGGACGTGAGTGGTTCCTCCACACTTAAGGCACACACACACAGATTCCATTTAACAACACAAAAACCACTGTAACAATTCAAACTAAATTGCCGAGCCATAACCTGCCTCTCCATCACCCACAAAACAACAAACTACCAACCCATAATCCACCAAACGTCGCCAAAAAAAAAACCAAAACAAACAAAAAAACAAAACAAAACACATTATGTCCCTATTACCCAACTCGCAACACCAAAACACATTTCTGGCCCTTAACCCACTTTAATGCCTTGCGATCTGGGATTTTTTTAAAGAATACACTTGCTGGTTTTTAACTCACCTCACTGAAAGGTTTGGTGATGTTAGTCTCCAGCTGCCAGTCCATGGTCCTCCACACCTTCAGGCTGTGGTCGTCTGCCTGTGAGGCGATGTACTTCCCCACTGGATCCCAGGTTAGGCCCTTCACCAGCCCAGTGTGGCCCTTCAGGGCGGTCACCATCTCTGGGGAGGGGACAGACAGTTTAGCATCTTTCTAGGCCTAACATAGCCCTGGATGGCCATCCTCCCTCTCAGCAGACAGGACAAACTCTGGGAAACTATTCCCATTGCGGCCGTTCACTTAGAACATGTATCTGGGTCGAGACCAGATGCTGGGTATTTGTAGCTGGTGACCTTATTCCGAGCCGTTCGGTGCTGATGTTGTGCTTTTTGTGATAATGGCATCATATTTCACTGTCATCTGGCACAGAGGGACCCAGGAAGCCACCAGTGCGTGGCTGCGGAGGGACACCTACACCTGTACACAAAGTAGGCACACCTGGGAACTTGCGGGCGTTCCAGATGACGATGGTGTTGTCGACGCTGCAGGAGGCCAGCCAGACATCATGGGGGGACCACGCTACGTCCATCACATCTGCAAAACACATAAGAGTGAGCCCCAAAAAACCCCCAACGCACATACGAGTAAGCCCCAGAAAAAAAAAAAAACATGATAAAAGTGAACTCCGCAAACCCAAACACACAATTATGACAAAGACAAGCTCAACGCTTTGAGTGTTAAACTCTATTTTCAGTCTCATGGTGGCTGTTACTGTTTTGGATGGACAATACAACAATCAAGCTGCAGCACAGCAGCATAAAAGGAGAAAAAGTCCTTCCCTTTCCCCACAATAAACACACAGTATAATCCTACATACTCCACGTATGTGTGGATACCAGGGATGTGGATCTCCCTGCTATTATACCTTGTACACATTGAGGGTATTATAAACATACTTGACTATCAGATTCATAGTGTCCATGAAGTCTAACGGTTCCTGGGCTGCTTACCTCCTGTGTGATTTCTGAGGATAGTCACGCATCGCCATTGCTCAACATTGGCCAATTTGCTGCTGGACCCAAAGACTGTGCTGGGGACAATATACCTGTGGAAATAGTTATAAAAATAATCCAATGTTAAGAATCTGCAGTGTAGGATTTCATACTTACTTGCAGGGGCGTAGCTAGAAATTTGGGCCCTGTACATTGGCAGGCTCTGAGGGCCCTCCACTCGATATAAAAAAAATTCCCAGATTTCGTGGGCCCCTTCAAATCCTTGGGCCCTGTATACTTAGTACCTTTTTCCCCCTGGTGCTACGCCCTTAGCATACATGCCAGCCACAAGAACTTTGAGGTAAATATTC